ACAGCATACGACATCCCTCTGTCCTTATGACCCTCACAGCTGATCAGGAAAAACTCCCCAAAAAAACCTTTAACGGGGGAAAAAACTTAACGTTAACACGTAGCTGTGTGTCAGAATGTCGTTGGTATGATGTCATACGAGCTGTTAGATGATGATTCTTTGAATTGCAGCGTCTTCATGTAGCAGATGAGAGACAGAGATCAGAGCGACTTTTACTCTGCATCAACACAGCGGGGGGCCAACAAAACACGGGGTTGTACGGACGCCATGCGGCAGTACAGGAACGTGCACGCTCCTGGCAGATGACTTTCTGACGTTGATTTCTGAATCTCTGTGACTCAAGATAAACGTTCATCAGCGCCTGCGCTCACTCTCACACCAGCTGTGTGCTGAATGAAGTTGAAAGTGTACTCAGGGTCCACTCAGCACTCATCACAGCCGTCAGCAGCTGCTTCACTTCCTCCGTCACTGTGGGACTCAAGTGTCCATCAACAATCACACAACCCCGCCGTTCAGAGTGTCACCAATTATGTCCCTTTTCCCGGTTAAAGGATCAATAAATAAAGCAAAATCAAATGAAGCCAGCACGCAGCTGGTGGGTTGTTCAGGCGGCCTGGGAGAAAAGAGCGTTTCTATAAAACACACGTCGACACACCGACGAGTCAAAAGAAGAAAAAGGATGATTTCAGGCGAATCCAGATTTATGTTTTTCTTTTCATGCAGGAACAAGACTGAGGATGTAAAGAGAGTGTGTGTGTGTGTGTGTGTGTGTGTGTGAGATGTGCGGTATGTTAATTGACATGATAGTTTATGTGAAACCCATCAGATTGAACAGATGCTGCTCTGAGATACGATTTCATGTTTGTGTGTTTATATTTAACTTTGCTTTTGTCTCATCTGACACCAGAGCGAGCATCGGCCCTCCGGCACACCAACACACACCAACACACACACACACTGACAAACAGTGACACATTCATGTATAAGAGCCTCACATCACAGGACAAAAGGTGTTGCCGCAGGCGACCTGCAGCTGTAATCAGATTACTGTCACACACACACACACACACACCAGTGTGGCAACGTGAGCGTGAAGGAATGTGATTAGAGACGGTTTGTCAAAGATGGAGAGGAAAGAAAGAGATGAAGAGAGTGAGGAGGAGGAAGAAATGATTGAATCTGTCTCTTTTCTCTTTATTTCTGTGGAAATCAAACAATACAGATACTGCTGCAGAGTGTGTGTGTGTGTCTTCCTGTCCTCCTTTAGTTTCCTGTCCGGCAGGAAATGTGACAATACTGCAGTTTCACCATCCACACCCTGTGTGTGTGTGTGTGTGATCTATGACTTCTGTCCTGCGTCTGTTTCCAGTAAAAAACACAACTATTGTTTCCAGCGTTTCCCTCGGGACATGAACATTGCTCAACACTCACTGTGCTGCGTTCAGGTGCAGCTCTGGCACCTGCTGGTGGAAAACAGAGCTGCAGACTGTCCCTCTGTGATCGGCTGCTGCTTCATCGTCAAGTTGGCCGAGTCTGTGGAATAATTCAAGTTTTTAACAAGCTTCAACAGTTCTTATAGGGTCTGTAGAGTACTTGTGGAGTCCGTAGTTCTTGTAGAGTTCGTAGAGTTCTTGTAGAGTCTGTAGAGTTCTTGTAGGGTTTGTAGAGTTCTTGTAGGGTTCATAGAGTTCTTGTAGAGTCAGTAGAGTTCTTGTAGGGTCTGTAGAGTTCTTGTAGGGTTCTTAGAGTTCTTGTAGGGTCCGTAGAGTTCTTGTAGAGTCTGTAGGGTTCCTGAAGAGTCCGTAGAGTTCCTGTAGAGTCTGTTGTGTCTGGCTGGAGTCAATAGCGTTTCTGCAGAGTTTTTATTCAAGTCTGTAGATTATTTATGTCCATAGAAAAAGGTTACAGTTTCCGTAGTCTTTAGAGTTTCCATAGAGCTTTGCAGGAATTTGTAATGTCTGCGGAGTTCAATAACATCCTGAACAGTCTGAGTTCTGCTCAGCAGTCTGAAACCATCTTGAAGCACCATCACAGAAGCTGTAAATCACCATTGTAACGAGCATGATTTATGAGACTCCTCCTCTACTCTGTCATCCAGACAGATAGCTGGTATTTATCTGTCCTTTACAGCTCTGATTCTTCTTCTCACAGAGCACTGGAGAACAGGAATTGATTTTGAATTCAGATCAGCTGACAAACAGACAGTGATGATTTTTCACGTGGGACGTTTTCCCTTCGTGTTGTGTCTTTATGTCCTCTAGCCACAAACAGAATTTAATACGTGCACAGACGTGAATTATCAGTCTAATGTCAGAGCATTATAAAGTTCCAGAGTTAATAAAAGTGAAGGGAAGAGTGATGGAGGAGAGGCAGAGCTGACCTTTCTGTGCAGCTGAATAATGAACCAACAGATGGAGGAGAAGAGGAGGAGAGCAGCTTTATGTGTCGGGCCTGTATGTGATTAGAAATCCAGTCGCTAATATCCAACACTGTCAGCCCTCCAAACCAAAAGATGCAGTTTACAGCAAATCTTAAGAGAAAACGTCCTCCTGCAGAGCCGGAGAGACGCCGGTTTAGATGTGCACATGCACATGCACATGCACATGCACGTGCACGAGTACCAGACTCTCAGTTTCATGTTGTTCAGATGCAGAGTGATAAAAACATATTTTAGATTGTTACAGTGAAAACAACGTTTAAAGCAGAAAAACTTATCTACTTCCTAGCGCACCAGCTCGTTAGCTAACGCTGTCTCCGGATCAGCTCCTGAATCCTGGATCATGACAGGATATAGGAACATTTTAGGAGGAGCACTGAGAGATGATCAAACAGACGATGGATCATACATGTTGGTTTCTGGCTGCAACATTAGCTCGCTGAAAAGTTTACACTTTAACGTCTCCTTCTGTTGATACTTGGATTAGTGCTGAACTGGTCTGGAGGAACACATTCACCTGTCCTGAGGACAGGGACATGAAATCCCCAGGGACTGATGAGACAAGCGTCCTGACTCTCTGTTGGCGGGTCTATCGGCTCTCCTCCAGTGTCCACACACTCCTGGATGTGGAGACATGGAGTCTGTCATTTTTTTTGAAGGTGGTTTCTTGCCCCTCCAGACAGACAGACTGACTCGTCCCACCAGACCATCCACTCTAACATTAACCCTCAACACAGCACCAACAGATGGCAACGTTTTTGATCAGCATCTTGAAGTGGAAATAGATGACTTTTCAGCTAACTTAGCGAGCATGCTAACTGTGCTAGCTAACGCTGGCAGCCAGAAACAAACAACGATGATTTATTATTGGTAAATTGTGCTAGAATTTAAACACAGAACACACCTTTCTGCCATGGTCTTTTTAAAATGAGCCGTGGTTGAAGGTACTATATTCTGTAATGATCAGGGAGTTGACACGCAGACGCTAGTTAGTGCTAGTAAAGCTAGCTAGGTGAAATGTTGACTCCTCCCACCACTGTGAAGTGATTGGCTGAAATCAGAATCGGTTTTATTGCCAAGTAGGTTTTCACATACAAGGAATTTGGCTTGGGGCTGGGCTGATGTTCAGCTCCCACTTGAGGTCCTGGGTGATGGTGGTCCCCAGGAAGTGGAATGACTCCACAGTGTCAACTGGGGCGTCATACAGGGTGATGGGGGTGGGCAGGGCTGGGTTGTTCCTGAAGTCTACAACCATCTCTACTGTCTTAAGAGCGTTGAGCTCCAGGTTGTTCAGTCTGCACCAGGTCACCAGCTGGTCAATCTCCCACCTGTAGGCGGACTCATCCCCGTCAGAGATCAGTCCAGTGAGGGTGGTGTCGTCCGCAAACTTCAGGAGCTTGACGGACTGATGACTGGAGGTGCAGCTGTTGGTGTACAGGGAGAAGATTTGATTTAATTTAATTTGATTTGATTCTTTTAATGAGAGCAGAGGAGAAAGAACACAGCCGTGGGGGGATCCAGTGTTGACAGTCTGGGTGTCAGAAACATGTCTCCCCAGCTTCATGTGCTGCCTCCTGTCAGACAGGAAGTCAGTGATCCACCTGCAGGTGGAGTCAGGCACACTCAGCTGGGAGAGCTTGTCCTGTAGCAGAGCTGGGATGATTGTATTGAAGGCAGAGCTGAAGTCCACAAACAGGATCCTGGCATAGGATCCTGGGGAGTCCAGATGCTGGAGGGTGAAGTGGAGGGCCATGTTGACAGCGTCATATACAGACCTGTTGGCTCTGTAAGCGAACTGCAGGGGGTCCAGGAGAAGGTCGGTGATGGCCTTGAGGTGTGACAGCACAAGACGCTCAAAGGACTTCATTACCACAGAGGTCAGGGCGATGGGTCTATAGTCATTAAGTCGTGTGGTCCTTGGCTTTGGATGGGAATGATGGTGGAGGTCTTGAAGCAGGCTGGCACATGGCATGTCTCCAGTGAGTGTGAACACTGAAGACAGCAGGTTGGCACAGTGCTTCAAGGTGGACGGAGAGACAGAGTGTGGTCCGGCTACTTTGCTGGGGTTCTGCCTCTTCAAGAGCCTGTTGACATCCCTCTCCTGGATAGTGAGAGTAGTGGTGGGGGAGGTGGGGGCCATAGGTGCGGGCAGTTGAGGGGGGCGGCAGGCCCCTGCTGAGGTGGGGGAGGTGATGCTGGTGGGATGGAGTTGTTGGTCGCGGGGGATGGTGTCTGGACTGTCCCATTGTCTTTCAAATCGAAAGTAAAAGTTGATCAGGTCGTTGGCTAGGCACAGGTCATTGACGGGGGGGGGGGGTAAGGTTTTTTAGTTTGTAATCTGGCTGAGCCCCTTCCAGACAGAAGCAGAGTCATTGGCTGAGAATTGGTGTTGTAGTTTCTCAGCATACAGCCGTTTAGCTTCCCTCACTGCCTTGCTAACCCTGTACTTAGACTCTTTAAACCTCTCCTTGTCCCCCAATAAAAAATGATAACTGACAGACCTTTGATGATGTCACAGATCAGGAACACACATCAACCTGTCTGTCTGTCTGTCTGTCTGCAGTAAGTACCAGGTGGTGGTGGAGGAGGAGCGCCCCCGCAGGCAGAGGAGAGGTACTGCAGAGATCCTGCGCTGTTATCCGGTGCCCATTCACTTCCAGAACGCCACGCTGCTCAACTCTCAGTATTACTTCAGTGCAGAGCTGCCGATGAGCGAGCTGAGAGCCCCCATGCCCTTCTGTGTCGGTCAGTCAACCACTCTGACCACTAGTCCGTCTGTCAGTCTGTCCGTCTGTCTGTCCATCTGTCTGTTAGTCTGTCTGTCTATCAAGGCCCTGACACACCAAGCAGACGGTCGGCCGTCGACCAAAGTCAGGCTGTCGGTGAGCATCTGTCGGCCTAGTTTTTGCGGTGTGTCCCGCACTGTCGGTGAGAGAGATCACTCTGATTGGCTGTTCAGGTTTTATTTCCTCGCCCCTGTAGCGAGTGAATCTGCCTGTAGTGAAACCGGGGCTAACCGGTGCTTCCTCCTCAGGCTCCACTTCACTCAGCTGCCCCACAGACCCGCTGCTTCTTCACACTTTAACCTGAATAACAAACCGGAGCTAGCTGGGAGCGGCTAGCGGAGCGTTAGCCGCAGCATGACCGGAGGGAAGCACAGCCAGTTAGCCTCCGCTAGTCTCTGAGCTAGCCCCGGCTCTCCGTTTGGATCCAACCGGAGCACCGAGCCCTGGTTTGTTATTCAGGTTAAAGTGGGAAGAAGCAGCGGGTTTATCGGGCAGCTGAGTGAAGTGGAGCCTGCGGAGGAAACACCGGGAGCGTCTGGATGTAATAGTCCGTGGAGGTGCTGCGGTGCTCGGCTGCACAGATAGGAAACCCCTCGGCTGACAGGATGTACCACTCTCTCACTCCGCTCTCTCTCACGCAGGCGCAGAACGTACGTGCTACTTGGCCGTCGGATGTAGTCCGTGTAGTGTGTTCAAATGCAACTGACACAGGGCGACGTGAGGCGACGTAGACGACTCAACAGTTGGCTTTTGTCGCCGCTAGTTCTTTGATGTCAGTTTGGTGTGTCCGCACCTTCAGTCTGTCTGTCTGTCAGTCTGTTAGTCAGGTACTGATCTACTTAATTACATTGATACTTATATACGTACATACTCACTTGCTCACTTATGTTCTTACCTTGATGCTTATATACTTCCTTAATTCCCTACTTATTTACCTACATACTTACGTTGTTTCAAAATGAAAAGAAAAAAAAAACACACACACCTGTTTTACCTGTGTATACATGCAGGTGATAACAGGACCTACAGCGGTTACTGGAACGCTCCTCTGCTGCCTCACAAGAGTTATGGGATCTACTACCAGGCTGTCAGCACTGCTAACGGGGTCAGTCCACCAGTACACTGACACACCTGTACACTGACACACCTGTACACAGACACACCTGTACACTAACACACCTGTACACAGACACACCTGTACACTAACACACCTGTACACAGACACACCTGTACACTAACACACCTGTACACTGACACACCTGTACACAGACACACCTGTACACAGACACACCTGTACACAGACACACCTGTACACTAACACACCTGTACACAGACACACCTGTACACTGACACACCTGTACACTAACACAACTGTACACTGACATGAGAACATGAAGAGAACGTGATGAGAACATGAAGAGAACGTGATGAGATCGTGAAGTTCTGTTCCTGCTGAGCTGCTGACACAGTTTATGTAAATGAATTTTCCACTAATATTCCAGATCACACGCAGATGCGCGGACTCGGATTAACGTTCACTAACATGACGTTTGATATAAAATAGGGAACAGTGGAACACTTCTACGTTTTTGCCCCAGAGTCGTCAGAACGTTCTGTTAGTTTTAGATTTGGAGGCTGTTATTAGGATGTCCTGCAGACGATAGCTGGAGATCTGTTTTATTATGATCCTATTTACATTGATCTAAAATAAGAACCATGATAGAACGTTGATAGACTGAGTGTCAGACTGAAGCTCCCAGAACCTTCAGTCTGACACTGCCTCCATTGAAGGTGATTAACAAGGGGGAGGGAATTTGATTTTTCCCTAACCAATCAGTAGAGATCAACGACTCACTCAGAATCTGACGTCATTAGTATCCATGCCTCAGGGGTGCCGACAACAAGCGAGCATTGCCCGTTTAAAATGTCTCCGTCGTCGTGCACGCCCAGCTGCATCGCCGTTAAATCCAGTTTATCAGCTTCCTTAATTTGGTCCTCCATTAACGCGAGTAGTGGCAAAATACCTCGATAGCATCGTTAATGTGGTCTGTAGGATCTGTAGCGGTCGCCATTGTTGCTATACTCACCAGTTACCCACCGGCATACAGCTTGACATCAGCATGGCACTGATTGGCTAATCGCTAGACCCGCCCCCACCCCCGGCGTTCATTGGTCCGTCCATCGTTTGGACGAGATAAATTGCAAATTCATTGCAGTATGCCAGACCAGAGATGCAAGCCTACTCAGTTGAGTGGGCGGGGTCTATGGTCTGGAACCAGGCTAGAATGTTGATTCTTTTACAGCAGGAAGTGAAGACTTCTGACATCACGCCATCACATTGACATACGCTGTGCAGCAGCATTTGGCTGTAACGGTTGTTTACATATTCCTGGATACATTTATCGATCTAAAATAAAATATGTAATATCTAGGACATTCATTCGTCATGATGTCACTGCGCTACATTACATGTGGTGCTAAAACACGCAGTGACATCAGAGGAATGAACAATGAGTCCATCACAACACATTTTCATCTGGCTCATAAAGATGATTGTTCCTCTACTAACGGATAACTGACGGAGTGTTCTCAGATGTTTTCTTCGTGTTCCTACATTTAAAAATCTTTTGCATTATAATTTTAATATTATTTTGTTTGTTCTGTTTTTGGTAGATTTGTCCTGATTCTCAGTAACGGCTGAAAACCAATCAGTCACATGACTGCCAAACAAAATCCATAAAATTAAAGAGAAAAAATCCTGATTCACAAACATTTACAGAAATTTACATTAAAGGTTTTTCAGAGAAATAAAAGTTACTTTACAGATTTCTCCTGAATTATTACGATCACAGACCTTCAAAACATGTCGATGGGCATGTTTGTTGTTTTTTACTGTTGTATTTTATGTCAGGCTCCAAGATATCAGCCTGGTTACAGCCTGACGCAGTGACGCACGGTGTCGGCATGGATCGTGAACAAGTGTTGTACGTCATAATCCATCGCTTCATCTCATGTAGTGTGTCATAGTAGACGACAACCGACGCCACGTCTGAGATGCCTCACAACATCCGGACAGAAAGTCTAGTATGTTTGATTTTCTCCGTCACAGCCGTCACTTTGACCAATAGAAACACAGAGTGATCTGCTGCTATGGAAACTTTAGGACTTCCATCCTGGAAGAGGGATCCCTCCTCAGTTGCTCTTCCTGAGGTTTCTACCATGTTTTTCCCCGTTAAAGGGTTTTTTGGGGAGTTTTTCCTGATCAGCTGTGAGGGTCATAAGGACAGAGGGATGTCGTATGCTGTAAAGCCCTGTGAGGCAAATTGTGATTTGTGATATTGGGCTTTATAAATAAAATTGATTGATTGATTGATTGATTGATGGCAACAGCCCAGCCTTTTAGATATTTCCTGTAGGGGCGTTAGCACACAGAGTAAAAATGAACATGATGACACTTTTAACGTAACTACAGTAACAGCTCAGCTGGAACATGAATAGACACAGTGTCTGAAATAATCGTTATAATAATAGGACAAGAATAACCTGATGACATCACACACATCGTGACAAACGACCAGGGATGACTGGTGTGGACCAAAGTGTCGTCTGCATCCGGCTTAATCGGCAGACACTGTGAAGTCTGAGCCAAAGTTGCCTCCACATTAATGCTACGCCAGAAAAATAAAAGATAAATTAATTCATCAGTTTCTTGTTATAAAGACATTTTTACAAGACATTTTCATCTTGTAAGAAAAAGCTTTTCTTGTCATTTCTTGATACTGATCAGTTTTTTTAATAATTAATGAATTAACAGGCTGCCGTCGCTGCCAAACAAAAACTGTCAAATTGAAGAAAAATGTCCGAATAATATATGAAATATAAAAATATCAGTGTGAACGTAAAAGTGGCGAGCGTGAAACAGGAGCTGGATCTTGAGCGGAGTGGCGGCTGTCAGGACGTCCAATCAGAGTGTGCAGCAGAGCTGGATGTGTGACAGCACACAGTGTTCTAACAAAGGTTAAACATTATTCTCTTCTGTCCGACACTTTGCTCTCAGCTCTCCTCACTGTGGTTTCTTTTTGTTCTTTATGTCAAAAAACTCAGAGAAGTGAAACGGAGACAGAGGTCACACTCACAGTTTAATGGGAGACCAGACAGTTCCAGCAGCCTGACCAGTGACACTAATGGGCTGCACTGGGGATCTGCGTGTGTGTCTATGTGTGTGTGTGTGTGTGTGTGTGTGTGTGAGAAAAGATAATTGTTCACTGGTATACACACACACACACACACACACACACACACACACACACACACATAGACACACACGCAGATCCCCAGTGCAGCCCATTAGTGTCACTGGTCAGGCTGCTGGAACTGTCTGGTCTCCCATTAAACTGTGAGTGTGACCTCTGTCTCCGTTTCACTTCTCTGAGTTTTTTGACATAAAGAACAAAAAGAAACCACAGTGAGGAGAGCTGAGAGCAAAGTGTCGGACAGAAGAGAATAATGTTTAACCTTTGTTAGAACACTGTGTGCTGTCACACATCCAGCTCTGCTGCACACTCTGATTGGACGTCCTGACAGCCGCCACTCCGCTCAAGATCCAGCTCCTGTTTCACGCTCGCCACTTTTACGTTCACATTGATATTTTTATATTTCATATATTATTCGGACATTTTTCTTCAATTTGACAGTTTTTGTTTGGCAGCGACGGCAGCCTGTTAATTCATTAATTATTAAAAAAACTGATCAGTATCAAGAAATGACAAGAAAAGCTTTTTCTTACAAGATGAAAATGTCTTGTAAAAATGTCTTTATAACAAGAAACTGATGAATTAATTTATCTTTTATTTTTCTGGCGTAGCATTAATGTGGAGGCAACTTTGGCTCAGACTTCACAGTGTCTGCCGATTAAGCCGGATGCAGACGACACTTTGGTCCACACCAGTCATCCCTGGTCGTTTGTCACGATGTGTGTGATGTCATCAGGTTATTCTTGTCCTATTATTATAACGATTATTTCAGACACTGTGTCTATTCATGTTCCAGCTGAGCTGTTACTGTAGTTACGTTAAAAGTGTCATCATGTTCATTTTTACTCTGTGTGCTAACGCCCCTACAGGAAATATCTAAAAGGCTGGGCTGTTGCCATCAATCAATCAATCAATCAATCAATTTTATTTATAAAGCCCAATATCACAAATCACAATTTGCCTCACAGGGCTTTACAGCATACGACATCCCTCTGTCCTTATGACCCTCACAGCTGATCAGGAAAAACTCCCCAAAAAACCCTTTAACGGGGAAAAACATGGTAGAAACCTCAGGAAGAGCAACTGAGGAGGGATCCCTCTTCCAGGATGGAAGTCCTAAAGTTTCCATAGCAGCAGATCACTCTGTGTTTCTATTGGTCAAAGTGACGGCTGTGACGGAGAAAATCAAACATACTAGACTTTCTGTCCGGATGTTGTGAGGCATCTCAGACGTGGCGTCGGTTGTCGTCTACTATGACACACTACATGAGATGAAGCGATGGATTATGACGTACAACACTTGTTCACGATCCATGCCGACACCGTGCGTCACTGCGTCAGGCTGTAACCAGGCTGATATCTTGGAGCCTGACATAAAATACAACAGTAAAAAACAACAAACATGCCCATCGACATGTTTTGAAGGTCTGTGATCGTAATAATTCAGGAGAAATCTGTAAAGTAACTTTTATTTCTCTGAAAAACCTTTAATGTAAATTTCTGTAAATGTTTGTGAATCAGGATTTTTTCTCTTTAATTTTATGGATTTTGTTTGGCAGTCATGTGACTGATTGGTTTTCAGCCGTTACTGAGAATCAGGACAAATCTACCAAAAACAGAACAAACAAAATAATATTAAAATTATAATGCAAAAGATTTTTAAATGTAGGAACACGAAGAAAACATCTGAGAACACTCCGTCAGTTATCCGTTAGTAGAGGAACAATCATCTTTATGAGCCAGATGAAAATGTGTTGTGATGGACTCATTGTTCATTCCTCTGATGTCACTGCGTGTTTTAGCACCACATGTAATGTAGCGCAGTGACATCATGACGAATGAATGTCCTAGA